AAACACTACCAACACACCACTATACATGTACTATACACCTACCTACGGCCTGACCGAGCCTTGGTGCGGTCTTAACTTCGGATCCAGGTACGTACTATTTATTTAACTAGCCTTCTCCCTATTGTGTAGTATGATAGGTCAATTGTCCATATGGCCATTTGGGCCCGAACCCTCGGCTGCCCGTATAGGAGGCTACTATGGGCCCTAGCCAACGCGACCTTTGCAGGGGCAGCTGGGGGCCATAAAACGGAGGATTTTGCCATAGTTCAGTTTAATCTAACAGTTAGGCAGGATGGCAACAGGATTTTTTTAACTGAATGTTATTAGGAAGAGGCAGCTGCCCATCTGCTGATTTCCCTCTGTTGCCTTTTACGCCTTCCACGAGACGATATGGGCTAGAGGATATTCTGATACCGCCAGCCAGTACACGGTCAATTGTAATTTCATTGCTGAATAATATTTTTTTACTATTATAAGCCAATACCTGATTTATTCCATTCGATGGTATTAAACTAATGATGATACAGCCGAAGATAATAAAGCGCTCTGACTTAACTTAACAAAAGTCTATTCACTCCGGCCTTGAATACACCAACATTATAATCGGATGGAAAGATTATTGCACTCTTTTGATCTACGCATTATGAACGGCAAAGCAAACCATTTGGTTCAAATGCGAAGTATGTCGAAAACAAAGGGGTGGAGACCAGCTTTGGGTCTGGTGGTTTAATGATGGAATGAAGAGGGAGCAATTAAGTCCTTTAATTCAAGCGCATACTATTCCAAATGTATCCTGTTAAATAACCGAAAGTCTGGCTTATTTGCGACTGTGTTAGAAGCTAGTGAGGTTGGTTCTAACCATATTGTTGTCACGAATAAGTCTCGTAACATGCTTTTTCATTGATTACCAAGTCGCTAGGTGGCATTTTGTAGCACCAGCCCATATATGGCAGCAATTCTCCATGCACATAGTTACTAAAACCAAGGTCTAAATTACACTCGTATTTTCAACACGATAACGGAATTAAAACGAAAAGATACCTAGTTAGCCTATAGTTAGGAACCGGCATTAACAACAGCAAACATTAAACTTACGAAGGAAACTAAACGTGGAAGACTTGTTTGAGACAAATTGCTTTACAAATATTTGGATTGTCGATAGCATACAGTTTGGCGTAATCAGTAGTAACGTGAAATTTATAGACAATTCAAAAATCAAATAATAAGATACTTTTTTATAGAATAAAGTGACAAACGAGCACACAGTCCACCTGATGGAAAATGGATACTGTGGGTCATAGACATCTACATCTATCCTGATTAAATATATAAAATGCAGATGCGTTGTCAACCCTGAGGACTAAGATGGACTGCCCCGTCTCCAGTGAAGAAAGCCTTCGGCTATATTCACTCACCATACAAAACACAAAACATTAAGCTGCTATTATGCTCTGGTATTCATCGTAAAACTAGGCACAAGAGAGAACAGTGACTGAAGACAGGGAAATTTGGAACAGGGCAATGGAACCCAAGGGGCCAGCAGCTGGCCGACTTCATGAAGAAACAGGGACTCTTTATGATGAACTCTTTCTTCCAGAAACGGCCCCACAGGAAGCGGACCTGGTCGACCCCTGATGGTTCGACAAAAATTAGATTGACTTCCTTATGACGACTAGACGGCCACTGTTCAATGATGTCTCAGTGATCGCGAGGGTGAAAACCGGCAGCGATCACAGAATGGCGAGAGGCATACTGAATCTTAACGTTAAGTTGGAGAGTGCACGTCTAATGAAGTCAACGCTTCGTTCTCCTCGTGCTCTAATCCAAAGTTCCGAAAATTTTCAGCTCGAGTTACGAATTCCCTTTCAGTGCCTAGAATATGGCGATTCGGTGGACGATATGAATGACAAGCTTGTGGAAACTGTCACACTCTTAATCTCATGGCTGTTAGACGGGAAATGCACCGACAGATCTCCAAATGCATACGACGTGACTTACGCAACTTCAATACAGCTCGTATTGAAGAAGGGATCGAGTGAAAACATGGTGTCAAAGTCTTTGCCAGAAATCTGTCTGCCAGAAAGAGCCACTGTCGAAGCTAAATGCCGAGTGTGGTATCATCGTTTCTAGGACAGCTGAGATTTTGAGTGAGATCCAAGAGCAAGTCTTATATGACACTATTCCAATGATATTCCAGACGTCCGCCTCAGAGAGATTAAAATGCCTCCCTAGCACCTTAAAAACGACAAGTACCGGGGTTAGAATGGAATTACAACGGAGCTTCTGTAAGCGGATGGAAGACCAGTACGTGAAGTCCTTCAGAAGCTCTTTAATACCGTCCTCCATGGTGGCATTACGCCGGAGGCGTGGAGTAGAAGTGCGGTTGTCATGTTCTTCAAGAAAAGCGATAACGCTCTTTTGAAGTACTTCAGACGGATTTCCCTACTGAGCCACGTCTACGTGCTATTCGAGAGTCATTAGAAATCCTTTTGCACGCAGACTCCACGACTTCCAGCCTCCCAAACAAGCCAGTTTCCGAAAAGCTTTTAGCACCATAGATCACATACATACCCTATATCAAATTGTACAGAAGACCGAGAAGTACAATTTTCCACTTGCAAACTTGCCACTCTTTCGTATGTGGAGTATGTGAAAGCCTTTAATTCCATCGAAATTTGGGTGGTGCTGCAGTCCCTTCAGCGTTTCCAAGTTGACTGACGGTATATCGAAGTGCTGAATTGTTTGTACATTGGCTATTCGAGTACAGAACTAGAGTATGAAACCTATCCAACTGCAGATTGGTGTATGACAGGGTGAAGTTATATCCCCCGAAACACTTCACCGCTTCATTGGAGTACGTTTTAAAGCTACTGGACTGGAAAGGGTACGGTATTAACTAAGTCGAACTTCGACTGAGAGGTCAAACCACGGATTCAACTCGGCTGGGGAGCTTTCGGGAAATTACGGCACAACTTCTCTTCAGATATACCTCAAAAGTTGAAAACGAGACTTATAGATCTGAGACGTAGTCATCGCCAGCCGTATGTGGAAGCTCAAGGTCGCTCAGCAAGCAATTGAGAGGGCTATTCTCGGGGTTTCTCTGCGTGTTAAACTTAGAAATGAGGATATCCGCAGTAGAATCAGAGTGGCCAACATAGCCCAACGGATTAGTAAGCCGATGTGGCAATGGGCCGGCCATATAACTCGAAGAACCGACAACCGATTGGGAAAAAAGGTTATCTTACCGCCAGGTGAAGTGTAAGGCGTCCCCTCACTAGATGTAGTGACGACCTGGCAAGATATGCAGGAATTCGATGGATACAGGTGGCTCAGGACCGTACTTTGTGGCATACCTTGGGGGAGGCCTATGATAAGCAGTGGACTTGTGAAGGGCTGTAATGAAAATGATAATTCTGTGAGAGCTTACTCCCTGGTCGTGCCGACCAATTTGTGCTACAACTATAACGCACCTGCAGCATGGCTGTGCCATTATAAAAAAAAACTTATATGATTCAGCTTTTTACTGTATGTTCTTGTTGTTTTCATTACTTTTGGTCTAGTGGTTGTAAAGGCGGCTGAAGTTATGTTGTTTTTCTGACAAGAAATTATTAGTAGCAGTTCAGAGTCAAGAAATTGGCGGTGATACACCCCCGTGCCTCGGAAAGCACGTAAAGCCTTTGGTCCAGCGCCTGATCTCACTGCGGTCGTGTGAGATTACCATCCCATCGGAATAAGAGATTTAGGGAGTAAAGAGTGCAGCTGTGCTTGCGCATACTCTTGGCCACTATAGTCCTGTCGTGCGCAAATAGCTGGTATCTGTTGATACTGGCCGCTGTGACCGCAATTAGGTCTGGAGGACACTATGTTATTTTTATGAATGTTTTTGTATGTTGTTACGCGATAGCATCGTAATTACATGGCAGGGCCATGCTGTAGCTATAATAATACTAATAAGGCGTAGGGAAGTGACGACCCCATCGCCCGCTGACGTAACAGTTAAGTGACAAAACTGCTACGTCGGCGCAGTCAGTCAGCTCCTTGCCAAGAGGTGTGAGCGCCGTGCCTCGGCAGTATTGAGGATGCAAAGGCCCGTTTGTGCTTACGGCCACATTATTAAACGGCGCCGGGTCAGGGCGTCTCCCGTTAATTGACGCCCACTTTCATGGATGATGGATAAAAATAGAACGCGCATAGGGCCGCTGCCTGGGGGTCGGCGGGGCGCGTCTGGAGCTGGCGCTGGACGCGACAGCATGCGGGCCGCCAGCCGAGCGCGAGATGCTGCACGACACCTAGCAGCACCTCGCATCCATCATCCCCACCAGATGGCTTGGTGTCGGCAGGGTCCTCTCGGACTCGACAAGCGGCACCCGCCGCTGGTGGAGTACGCCGCATGCGTTGGACAAAATATATGAACATAAACGCATTGCGGGCGTACTATAGGGCGAAAGGGGAAAAATCTGGAAGGATAGCGTATCGGGCTCGGATGCGTCGCTTTTTTGCTGAGCTGGAGCCGTCAGTTCCCGTCACAGAGCAAAACCTGGCAGACCGAGTTCAGTACATCATACGCTCGAAAATATTTGATGATACAGAACTCGAACGACTACGGCGTGAGGCTATTCCCTCATCTAATGAACCGGCTAAGGCTGGGGATGCGGCTCCTAAGGTCATAGACCAGCAGCCATATGTAGAAGCCTACATGGATCTTCCCGCTTTGGTTAATGAGGATCCGTAACGTTTTTAGTTGAGAATGCAGATTTATAGATCTAAGAAATCCTTAACATACAGTGCAAAAATTTTTGTTCTACGGCAAAAATTGACGAAGTTATGATCAAATTACTAGCGAAGTTCACTGACGGCCCGGCGCGGTAGCTGTGACGTCACTATGACGGTCTTCGCCAGTTAGCCGTTGGCAGCAATAAGGCACGCAGTGTTTTGTTTGGTTAATTGTGACTTTGAAACAAATTAAGTGTCCGATTTGTGTCTAATTCACCTTTTTAACTATGTATAAATATTGTATAGTGCCGAAATGTACAAACACTTCTATTAAAACACCAGAAAAACTATTTTTTAACGTACCGAAAGACCCCAACTTCGTAGAAAAATGGTATTCCATTGTAAAAAGAGATGATAAAACTACACCCTCTGCCCAGGCTACAAGAAATTGCTGTGAAGATCACTTCGATGTACGTACCTACATATCTATTATACCTATTATTTAGTTGATATGGAAATAAGTTGGTACCTTATGTTACGTGTAGTGTACCTGTATATTCTCTTATTTTGAGCCTGCTGTATAAATAAAAACATACCTATTTACTTTTTTAAGTTTTGTTGATAAAACTACGCACTAACGTATCTACTAACGTAAACCTATATATTCGCCCGTTCCCATTTCTATGTATTACTAGCTTTTGCCTGCGGTTTCGCCCGCGTTGAATTCAGTTTGTCACAGAAAGTTTTTATCTCACCGCTATTTCATCCCCGTAAAGTTTTATTTTTGCGATGAAAAGTAGCCTATATCCATTTTAAGATCTCAGATCGAAGTCATTAAAATTGGTTCAGATGTTTATATGTAAAAACATCGTATTTCGTATTCCAGGGTCAAAACAATGACATAGAGACGTACTCGGGTAAAAAGCAAAGAGTGAATGATAATATTCTATAATCATTTACATAACAGCGGTGAATTTATGTATCTGCCTCAGCTATGCCTTATTGTTAGAAGCAAATAAATTAATCTACACTACTATTATAAAGAGGAAAGATTTGTTTGTTTGTTTGTTTGAATTGAATTGAATAGGCTCCGAAACTACTGGACCGATTTGAAAAATTCTTTCACCATTAGAATCCCACGTTATTTTTGATGAACATAGGCTATGTAATATTTTCAAAAAGTTAGGGATCCGTATGAAAACTTCGTTAATGTAACCCAAGGTGTGAAAAAAAAATACCAATAAGAATCCTTATATCGCGTACGCTTCGGAAACTATTGATAATAGAGCAAAGTAATTTACTTCACTTTTATAGAGGATATTAATCTCTACAAATAAGTCTGCGATACCATATGTTTAACTATTACAGTTATGTCACAATAACTACTTTTTCATGTTAAAATGTGAAATAGTAACGCCGGTACAAATACTACTAATACGAGTACGTACTGATACGAATAATGTGGCCTAGACATTATTCGTATCAGTACCTGTATCATGCATCAATACATCTACATCTACACTTCTACACTACTGTTATAAAGAGGAAAGATTTGTTTGTTTGTTTGAATTAAATAGGCTCCGAAACTACTGGCCCGATTTGAAAAATTCTTTCACCATTAGAATCATACATTATGTCTGATGAACAAAGGCTATGTAATATTTTCAAGAAAGTTAGGGATCCGTATGAAAACTACGTTAATGTAACCCAAGGTGTGAAAAAAATAACAAAAAGAATCCTTATATCGCGTACGCTTCGGAAACTATTGATAATAGAGCAAAGTAATTTACTTTACTTTTATAGAGGATATTATTCTCTACAAAAAAGTCTGCGATACCATATGTTTAACTATTACAGTTATGTCACAATAACTACTTTTTCATGTTAAAATGTGAAATAGTAACGGCGGTACAAATACTACTAATACGAGTACGTACTGATACGAATAATGTGGCCTAGACATTATTCGTATCAGTACCTGTATCATGCATCAAGACATCTACATCTACACTTCTACACTACTGTTATAAAGAGGAAAGATTTGTTTGTTTGTTTGAATTAAATAGGCTCCGAAACTACTGGACCGATTTGAAAAATTCTTTCACCATTAGAATTCCACGTTATTCTTGATGAACATAAGCTATGTAATATTTTCAATAAAGTTAGGGATCCGTATGAAAACTTCGTTAATGTAACCCAAGGTGTTAAAAAAAACCCAAAATAATCCTTATATCGCGTACGCTTCGGAACCTATTGATAATAGACCAAAGTAATGTACTTCACTTTTAAAGACAGACAGGCCTGTTGGTCTAGTGGTTAGTGACCCTGACTGCTATGCCGGAGGTCGTGGGTTCGATTCCCACCCAGGACAAATGTTTGTGTGATGAGCACGATCATTTGTTCTGTGTCTGGGTGTAATTTATCTATAATATTTATGTATTTAGAAATATATAAGTATGTTTATCAGTTGTCTAGTACCCATAACACAAGCTCTGCTTAGCTTGGGACTAGATGGCGTTGTGTGATAGTTGTGGAATATTATTATTATATAAAGAGGATATTAATCTCTACAAAAAAGTCTGCGATACCATATGTTTAACTATTACAGTTTTGTCACAATAACTACTTTTTCATGTTAAAATGTGAAATAGTAACGCCGGTACAAATACTACTAATACGACTACGTACTGATACGAATAATGTGGCCTAGACATTATTCGTATCAGTACCTGTATCATGCATAACCACCAATTACGTTAACTATGTAATTTTAGTAACATATTTCACTTTTTAAATCTTTGTTAATTCAGCAACCGTCCGTCGTGATGTCTCTCTCGAAGTTCGCATGTCGCAAGGCGAAGATGCGTGATATACGCGAGTGAAACCGTGGGGCACAGCTAGTACTTATATACATTTTTATATTTCAGTTAGAAGAAGATATGGAAAATTACGTAAAGTTTAAGTTACTTGGAGAAAAGCTTAAACTGAAGAAGAGAGTTTTGCCTCATAAGTTTGAATGCCAAAAGCCCCAAAAAAAGAAAATTGACCGACCGGGTTTTAAAAAACGACAAGACATAGAATATTTTGAAAGAGTTTTAAGTAGAGATATTGGACAAGAAGACCTGTTGTTGCATTCCATTGAAGTAGTAGAGTGTGAGAATCAAGACTCAAATAACCTAAGCACCTAAATGAGGCCAATCAGGTTTTAAAAACAAACCACAATTTTCAATAACTACTTTTCTTGTTTTGGCTATTTCTGCTCTGACATTGGATTCCAATCGTTTGCCTCTTTTCATAGACAGAATCTCTGGTACAGAGGCACCAAATATTTGTTCAATCAAAGCACCATCAGGAGTCTTGCAATGTGTGGCTTCGTGAACTTTAGACGCGGTTATTCTACAATACCTTAACTCATGCCATAACGGTGAACTAGCTTGACAAACTGTTGCTTCCTCTGCTTTGTGATATTTCTCTATGGTGATTTTAGTAGAACAATAATCAATAAAATTATCTGCACTATTTATATTATTGCCTTCATTTTTGTATTGATGAATGAGGTTATGCAAGAACAATTTTTTATACTGATTCTTTGTAACGTATACTGATAACTGATTTTTAATAGGATTTTCCTTTAGGCTTTGCACAACTGCTAGGAAGAACTGATTTAAATTGGTGTTATCAGTATTTTTATCTTCAGTAGTGAGCTGTACACATCATCGTTGGAGCTAAACGCAAGTGTGAGTAACGATCCAAGAGCGAGTCTTATCCGACACTATTCCGATGATATCCCAGACGTCAGTATGAGCGAAATTAGAATGGCTCTCCAGCACCTGAAAAACGGCAAGGCCCCAGGCGAGGATGGAATTACTTCGGAGCTTCTGAAAGCGGGCGGAAAACCGGTACATGAAGTCCTTCAGAAGCTCTTTGATTCCGTCCTCCATGGTGGCATGGTGAAGCAGAAGTGCGGTGGTCTTGTTCTTCAAGAAAGGTGACAATGCTCTTTTGAAGAACTACAGACCGATTTCCCTTCTGAGCCGCGTCTACGTGCTGTTTTCGAGAGTCATTACGAATCGTCTCGCACGCAGACTAGACTACTTCCAGTCTCCCGAACAAGCCTGTTTCCGAAAAATATCCCGAAAAAGCCGGTTATCGAACGTAGATAAATAAGCAGCACCCTTACCTTTGTTGTTTCCAACCACGGATTTCAGCGCTGGTGAACTTAGAATGATTACTTAGATAATCAAATACCATGAAAGAATCCACTTTTGGAAGGTTATCTGATTGAGCTTGCACAAAACCAGCTTCTACTTTATTAGCACTCATATTATGTACTTTTAATACTTAAACAATTACAAAATTATACGGTAACAACGCTTTATTCAAATAAATTGCTAAATATAGTGCCCAACCGCGTCTCCGCACTCCATCGAATCGTGAATTACCACCGAATACATGTATGTACTACTATGATGCGTTCGTTTCCGTCACAGTGACGTCACGCGGACCTGCGTACATTGACTTTTAGCGACAGTAACGGCCTATGTTTATTACTTAATATCTTCGTAAGTAATGGTCCGATTTGACTAATTCAAAAAGATATATAATTCTTATCTCATAAAGAATAACATGGATACTAGTTTTATTGAATTTTCTATAACTTTACTGACCCTCATTCAGGCGATGATGGAATGGTCACCCAAGAACTAGAGCAGATGAGGAGTAAATTGGAGGAGGCGATTGTGGAAACACGCAGTATGCCTCTCGAAAATCGACCGCGACTTCCCCGCATACCCCTAAACAAGCGGAATGGGGCTGTCGTGAGGGCTCTCAACCCAATGCTGGTGACCTATTTGGAAGCCAGCCGGGACCTTAGCGAGACGAAATCAATTCTTTTTGGCGCCGCACTGACAGTTTGCCGTATTATTGGCGCCAAACTTCCCACGACTGGACGCGCTACTAGACAAAGTAGCGCCATCCCAGCCTGGAGAGGAAGGATTGAGGACCGTATCGCAAAGGCAAGGGCCCTCATCGGCAGGCTGATAAGCTTCAGGTCGGGCAATAACAGGCCGAGAATTGTGTGCACTGTCAGGATGGCGTCTGCTGGGACAAATATCAGTTTGTCACTCTGTGCTCGCCCGATAGTTTCAAGAGACTCTCAACCAGAAGTCGCTCCCGAGCCTCTTCACTACTGGGATCACTCATTTGGTTCCTAAAGATCAGGATACCACTGACCCGAGCAAATACCGCCCCATCACGTGTCTACCCACGATATACATGACACTAACATCCATTTTGAGCGCGAGAATCACTCGTCACCTGAACTCAAATCAGGTTATGTCGCGCGCTCATAATGGATGTAGGGGAGGTGGTCGTGGAACCAAGGAACCACTCCTAATTGACGCGGTCATTGGCAAGGTGGTTAAATGCAACCGTCGGAACCTGTCTGCCGCCTGGATAGACTACAAAAAGGCATTCGACTCGGTGCCTCATACGTGGCTTAAGAGGGTCCTCGAGCTGTACAAGGTTAACTATACAGGGCGAGACTTCCTCGAGCATTGTATAGGGCAGTGGCGTACGATCCTTTGTCATCTAGGTGAGCGGATGACGGCTGCGGAGAACCATATAAGGAAAAGAAGGGGTGTCCTCCAGGGCGATTGTTTGAGTCCAATCTTGTTCTGCCTCTCTCTGAACCCTCTTAGTACCTTACTAGAGGGTTCTGGGAGAGGTTTTCAGCTTCGGAGAGGAGGTACAAAAGTAACCCACCTTTTTATATGGATGATCTCAAATTATTTGCCTCCCTCCAGTCGCTCTCATCTTGTGGAATTGCTAAACATCACATGTGATTTTAACAATTCTATTAGAATGGAGCTGGGGACGGATAAGTGTGCGGTCCTCCATGTTGAAAGGGGAAGGGTTGCTAAATCTGAAGCCATAGACTTGTCTATGCTCATCAACATAAAGACCCTAGCCGAGGCTGAAAAATACCTATACCTGGGTATGTCACAGAACATAGGTATCGATGAGGCGGACATGAGGCAGTCAGTTTGCGATATGTTTTATGCACGCTTGACAAAAGTGCTTAACAGTCTTTTGTCGGGCGTTAATAAGACACACGCATATAACGGTTGGATCATGCCTGTTCTCATGAATACATTTAGCATACTCAGGTGGACTCAGACCGAATCGAATGCTCTGGATAGAAAAGTCCGCACTATTATGACGTCCCACAGGATGCATTATCCGAGATCGTCAGTAATGAGGCTGTACTTGCCGCGGAAATATGGTGAGCGCGGCTTTTTAAGCGCGCTTAACATGCATAATCGCGAAGTGTGCAGCCTCCGTAATTAATTTCTGGCGAGAGCGGATGATCCATTCTATAGGGACGTTATTTTTTGTGATAAAGGACTTACCCCTCTATCCTTAGCCAACGAGCAATGGCAAGACCCGGCAGAACAGAGCATTTCCGATCGGGAGACCGTGTGGAAGGAGAAGGAGCTCCATGGGAGGTTCTACAAGGCTCTACATGAGCCTTCCGTAGACACTGTTGCCTCTCTCCACTGGCTACGTTTTGGTGACCTCTTCGCGGAAACCGAGGGTTTTGTCTGTGCAATACAGGATCAGGTTATTAAGACCAACAACTATCGGAGATACATCCTAAGGGATGGCACCGTCGACATTTGTCGAGCTTGTCACCATCCCGGTGAATCACTTAGGCGTGTCATCTCCGGTTATTCGGCGCTTTCTAACTCTGAGTGCTTGCATAGGCACAACCTAGTAGCCAGGATTCTACACCAGGAGCTCGCTCTGAAATACGGTCTCGTGGATCGGAAACTGCCTTATTATAAGTACTAGCCGGAAGCCGTGCTCAAAAATGACCGCGCCAGTCTCTACTGGGACCGGGCCATTATCACAGACAGGACTATTCTTGCGAATAAGTTTGATATTGTACTGATGGACCGGGCACAGTCAAGGATATTTTTGGTCGATATTACTATTCCGTATGACGAGAACCTCGTGAAAGCCGAAACAGATAAGTGAACTAAATATCTGGACCTGGCTCACGAGGTGACCGACATGTGGGGTGGAGTGCCGGCCGAAATTATACCTGTAGTCGTTTCTGCGAACGGTTTTAATCCCAGTCAGCCTCTCAGGTCATCTTAGGTGGCTGGGACTCCGTGACGGACCGCTCCAAGCTCAAATGCAGAAGACGGTGCTCCTCGATACCGCCCGCATCGTCCGCCGGTTTCTTTCCCTTTCCCCCTAACCCTCGGCCGTTTGGTCTCCCCTGCCGAGGGCTTCCATCTGGTTGGGTTTTTATTTATTTATGTATTTTTTATGTATTAATTTTATTTTGTTGATGTTTATGTATATTTATCATTTTCATTTACAATTATATATTTATACAGCCCAACCAGATGAGTAAACTATATAGATACCCCAAATAATAATAATATTTTTATTCAGACTCAATCCATAGAGATGTTAGTATAACAATAATAATAATAATAACAATAATAACAATAATAAGCGTAGTAATAGGCGTAGGGAAGTGACGACCCCATCGCCCGCTGACGTAACAGCTGAGTTAACAGTGACAAAACTGCTATGTCAGCGCAGTCAGTCAGTGCCTTGCCAAGAGGTGTGAGCGCCGTGCCTCGGCAGTATTGAGGGTGCAAAGGCCCGTTTGTGCTTACGGCCACACTATTAAACGGCGCCGGGTCTGGGCGTCTCCCGTTAATTGACGCCCAATTCAATGGATGATGGAAAATAATAGAACGCGCATAGGGCCGCTGCCTGGGGGTAGCCGGGGCGCGTCTGGAGCTGGCGCTGGACGTGACAGCATGCGAGCCGCCAGCCGAGCGCGAGGTACTGCACGACCACCTAGCAGCCCCTCGCGTCCATCATCCCCACCAGACGGCTTGGTGTCGACGGGGTCCTCTCGGACTTGGCAAGCGGCACCTGCCGCTGGTGGAGTACGCCGCATGCGTTGGACAAAACATATGAACATAAACGCATTGCGGGCGTTCTATAGGGCGAAAGGGGAAGAAACTGGAGGGATAGCGTATCGGGCTCGGATGCATCGCTTTTTTGCTGAGCTTGAGCCGTCAGTTCCCGTCACGGAGCAAAACCTGGCAGACCGAGTTCGGTACATCATACGCTCGAAAATATTTGATGATGCCGAACTCGAACGACTACGACGTGAGGCTATTCCCTCATCGAATGAACCGGCTAGATCTGGGGATGCGGCTCTTCAGGCCACAGACCAGCAGCCACATATAGAGGGCGCCATGGATCTCCCTGCTCTGGTTGATTCAGGCGATGATGGAATGGTCACCCAAGAACTAGAGCAGATGAGGAGTAAATTGGAGGAGGCGATTGTGGAAACGCGCAGTACGCCTCTCGAAAATTGACCGCGACTCCCGCGCATACCCCTAAGCAAGCGGAATCGGGCTGTCGTGAGGGCTCTCAACCCAATGCTGGTCACCTATTTGGAAGCCAGCCGGGACCTTAGCGAGACGAAATCAATTCTTTTTGGCGCCGCACTGGCAGTTTGTCGTATTGTTGGCGCCAAACTTCCCACGGCTGGACGCGCTACTAGACAAAGTAGCGCCATCCCAGCCTGGAGAAGAAGGATTGAGGACCGTATCGTAAAGGCAAGGGCCCTCATCGGCAGGCTGATAAGCTTCAGGTCGGGCAATAATAGGCCGCGAATTGTGCGCACCGTCAGAATGGCGTTTGCTGGGACAAATATCAGTTTGTCCCAGCCGGATATAACGCAAAAACTGACGGAGCGCATAGACGACCTGAAGCAGAGAATCGCTGCTTGGGGGAAGCGGATTCGGCGATATACCGAGAGGTCGAAACGGTTCAACCAGAATCGTCTCTTCCAGAGTGATCAGAAGAGGCTATATAAATCATTGGAGCGACCAATGGTACGTGGAACGGGCCAAGCACCGAATCAGGCCGACACTGTCGCATTCTGGCGCGGCCTGTGGTCAGAGCCCGTAAACCACCGCGAGGGCCCTTGGAAGGAAGTTGTGGTGAGTCAGTGTGCGAATCTTACGCCCATGGACCCCGTCATTATAACGCCGGACGATGTAGCTGAGGCGGTCCGAAGGGCCCCGAACTGGAAAAGTCCGGGGCTCGATGGGCTGCATCACTACTGGCTGAAGGGGTTCGTGGTGTGTCACGCTGTGCTCGCCCGACAATTTCAAGAGGCTCTCGACCAAAAGTCGCTCCCGAGCCTCTTCACTACTGGGATCACTCATTTGGTTCCTAAAGACCGGGATACCATAGACCCGAGCAAATACCGCCCCATCACGTGTCTACCCACGATATATAAGACACTAACATCCATTTTGAGCGCGAGAATCACTCGTCACCTGAACTCAAATCAGGTGATATCGCGCGCTCAAAATGGATGTCGGGGCGGTGGTCGTGGAACCAAGGAACCACTCCTCATTGACGCGGTCATTGGCAAAGTGGTTAAACGCAACCGTCGGAACCTATCCGCCGCCTGGATAGACTACAAAAAGGCATTCGACTCGGTGCCTCATACATGGCTGGAGAGGGTCCTCGAGCTGTACAAGGTTGACTGTACAGTTAGAGACTTCCTTGGGCAGTGTATGGGGCAGTGGAGTACGATCCTTTGTCATCTAGGCGAGCGGATGACGGCTGCGGAGAACCACATAAGGATAAGAAGGGGTATCTTCCAGGGCGATTGTCTGAGTCCAATCTGGTTCTGCCTCTCTCTGAACCCTCTCAGTACCTTACTGGAGGGCTCCGGGAGGGGATTTCAGCTTCGGAGGGGAGGTACAAAAGTGACCCACCTTTTCTATATGGATGATCTCAAGTTATTCGCCTCCAGTCGCTCTCATCTTATGGAATTGCTAAACATCACTTGTGATTTTAGCAATTCTATTAGAATGGAGCTGGGGACGGATAAGTGTGCGGTCCTCCATGTTGAAAGGGGAAGGGTTGCTAACTCTGAGGGCATAGATTTATCTATGCCCATCAACATAAGGACCCTTTCCGAGGCTGAAACATACCGATACCTGGGTATGTCACAGAACATCGGTGTAGATGAGGCGGGTATGAAACAGTCAGTTTGCGATGTGTTTTATGCACGCTTGACCAAAGTGCTTAACAGCCTTTTGTCCGGTGTGAATAAGACGCACGCCTATAACGGTTGGGTCATGCCTGTTCTCATGTATACCTTTGGCATACTTACGTGGACTCAGACCGAACTAAACGCTCTGGACAGAAAAGTCCGCACTATAATGACGTCCCACAGGATGCATCATCCGAGATCGTCAGTAATGAGGCAGTACTTGCCGCGGAAGCATGGCGGGCGCGGCTTTTTAAGCGCGCTTACCATGCATAATCGAAGTGTGCAGCCTCCGTAATTACTTTCTGACGAGAGCGGATGATCCATACTATAGAGACGTTATTTCTTGTGATAAAGGACTGACCCCTCTATCCTTAGCCAACGAGCAATGGCAAGACCCAGCAGTACAGTGCATTTCCGACCGGGAGACCGTATGGAAGGAGAAGGAGCTCCACGGGAGGTTCTACAAGGCTCTACATGAGCCTTTCGTAGACACAGTCGCCTCCCTTCACTGGCTACGTTTCGGTGACCTCTTTGGGGAAACCGAGGGTTTTGTCTGTGCGATACAGGATCAGGTTATTAAGACCAACAATTATCGGAGATACATCCTAAAGGATGGCACCGTCGACATCTGTCGAGCTTGTCGCCATCCCGGTGAGTCACTTAGGCATGTCATCTCCGGTTGTTCGGCGCTTTCTAACTCTGAGTATTTGCACAGACACAATCTAGTAGCCAGGATTCTACACCAGGAGCTCGCTCTGAAATACGGCCTCGTGGATCGGAAACTGCCGTATTATAAGTACTTGCCGGAAGCCGTGCTCGAAAATGACCGCGCCAGGCTCTACTGGGACCGGGCCATCATCACAGACAGGACTATTCTTGCGAATAAGCCTGATATTGTGCTGATGGACCGGCCACAGTCAAGGATCTTTTTGGTCGACATTACCATTCCTTATGACGAGAACCTCGTGAAAGCCGAAACAGATAAGGTGACAAAATATCTGGACCTGGCTCACGAGGTTACCGGCATGTGGGGTGGTCTGCCGACCGAAATTATTCCTGTGGTCGTTTCTGCGAATGGGTTAATCCCAGTCAGCCTCCCGGGTCATCTGAGGCGACTGGGACTCCGTGACGGACCGCTCCAGGCTCAAATGCAGAAGGCGGTGCTCCTCGATACCGCCCGCATCGTCCGCCGGTTTCTTTCCCTTTCCCCCTAACCCTCGGCCGTCTGGTCTCCCCTGCCGAGGGCTTCCATCTGGTTGGGTTTTTATATATTTATGTATTTTTTATGTATTTATTTTATTTTATTCATATTTATGTATGTTTACCATTTTCATTTACAATTATATATTTATACTACCCAACCAGATGAGAAAACTTTAACTTTATTATTGTTGGGGTATCTACCCCAACAATAATAAAAAAAAACCTTAAGTCTAGTGTTAGTACATGACTTCTTTTTCTTTATATTCTTAACTTTTAAGTTAAGAATACAAAGTAAAAGTTTAAAATTAACCATCCCGCGTACATTACATATATCTTACTTATTTAGTTTTACATGTAGACTTAACGAATGCCTCATAATGACCGAGTCCCACCTATCAGCAAGTGTGTTTAGGATGCTGTTGGTAGAGACGCAGACGACTCAGTAACGAAGCTGACCTTTTACGAATAACGGTATGAAAGCCATCCGTGTGTGCCTCGGCGAACATAGCAGAGGCACTACAATAACGCGGCAATCCCAATAGCACCCTGAATCCATTATTATATTGGACACGCAGGACGTTGTATGCCCGTTTCATATATCTAACCCACAAGTTGCATGTGTAAAAGCACTGACAATACGGTTTAAAAAGCGTTATTTTTACTTCTTTAGTACATCGTGCAAATCTGCGGGCCAGCATATTACAGCGAACAGCCAACGCCCTGCGTTCCCTTTCTATATCTAAGTCATCGTTTAAGTCCTCTGTTACCCAGTGGCCTAGGTACTTAAATTTGACGAATCTCTTTAAAGAACTATCACAGAGTTTAACAGTAGGCATGGTGAACTGCCTTTTAGTGCCTGAGTTAAAAACCATAAGCTCGCTCTTTGTTACATTATATTTGAGCCCATGGGCCTTTGCATAGGATTCACAGATCCCTAGCAGCCTTCTGAGTGCACCTATCGTGGGACTCAGCAGCACCATGTCATCTGCATAGCTTATATTATTTATACAAATTCCGTCTATAGAACGACCGACTTTAGTGCTGCTGAGCTCCACAATCAACTGGTTTATGTATAGGTTGAAAAGCGTAGGCGAATTCAACCCTCCTTGTCTCACCCCACACTCCAGCCCATACCTCTCAGAAAAGCTACAACCCCATCGAACATTATTTCTTTGGTTACTATATCAATATTTAAACACGAAAATAATCTCCTGGGGCAAATTAGTCTCCTTCTGTAACTTTCGACATAAGATATCATAAGAGACTAGATCAAAAGCTTTTGATAGATCTAAAATACAGGCATACACAGGTGTTTTTCTATCTATGTAGTACCTTACAAGCTAGCTTAAAAAAGCTTAGCTTAAGACATAAAATTGCGCTCTCTGTGGATAGTCCAAGTTTGAACCGAAATTGTGCATCATGCAGATGAATATGCTTTCGCAATTGTCTGTCAAGGGGACAGCAATTTAGCTATTATAGTGTCTAGTGAGATTGACCTATAAGTCTGATGTATCTCCCGTTCTGTTCTTAAGAATAGGCACCACAATGGTCTTCATGAGATCAGTCGGAAGATACTGATGTGCTATACATAAACTTAGAAACATAGCCAACACTCTTGGCAGGTGGGCACCAGCATGTATCAGATGTTCAATACTAAGACGAAGGTATATCTCCAGGCTGGCTTTGACCCTAAATATTAGCGGGAAGGCTTGACTTGGGACTCAGCTTATTTGTAAGTTTCCAAAATTCTTTAAATTTCTTTAGCGAGTGACTTGATGCGATCTTGTCCATTTTTAGTTTCTCTGCGTTATTTTGACACCATTTTAACTTTGACTTAAAATCTCGTCTAGTTTCATACATTTTATTTTAATAATAACCCGAAGATGGCTTACCGTATAAGACCCAAGTTTTAAAGGCAAGTCGAGCCTCCCCGTGGGCACTTCTAAAATATTTATTCCACCCCGCAACCTATTTTCCTTCCTTCCTTTCCTATCTTTCCTTTTGTTATTATAACTGTTTTGCGATGATTCTCTAAGGATAATAACAATATTACTGTACATAGTATCTAAAATTAATTTGTAATTATCATTTATACATATATCATTACAACAACTTTTAAACTCTTGTGGAAAATTTACGTCCTTTAATTTAGAGTAACACAATTTTTTATAAGTTTCTATTTGGTTATTATTTCTGTCACCCCAAATTATTTTATTATTACAGAAATAGCTTATTACATTATTTTCTCTCAATAAGTTTATATTGCACTCGACCAGTAATGGAACATGATCCGACCAGTAACTATCATACAGTACTCTGCAATCTATGACTGTATCCAATCATACCTTTATGCGGTCTTTATACGTGGTAGAGCCATGCTGCAGCTATATTATGGTTGTAGCACGAATGGGTCGGCTCGAACGGGGAAGAACCACGCTCTCACAGAAAACCAGCGTAAAATAGCAGCTTAACGCTGCTGTGTTTCGTATGGTGAGTGTAGAGAACCGGAGAGCCTTTTTACTGGCAAAGAGGCATTCCATCTTAGTCCTCACGGGTGACAACGCATCTGCATCTTGAGTCTTTATTGAGGATAGATGTAGATGTCTATGGGTCACAGTAACCACTTACCATCAAGTGGACTGTGTGCTCGTTTGTCACCTGATCCTATAAAAAAAAAAGTTACAACGCAATGATCCAACCAGCGCCGACAACCGTGCGCGTCACTAGTGTAGATAAAGCTGTCCGCTGGGAGGACCTCCAAATCAACAAAACTCAACTGCTGATCCGTGCAAAAATTTATCAGTTCATTATGAAATAATGTACCAAGATGCGAATTAAAGTCACTTAACGCAAAAACAGAGTTGACATTTTCATTTTCAATAATAGCACTTATCTCGCTCACACACGATGTAAATTCTATTAAATTGTCTACTGAATCCGTTGGCATATAAACGGAAAATATTATGTAAGTTCGGTCACTATGGAACACTTTAATTGCCGTGAGACGCACACTACTACATTCGATCACACTGACATAGTCAAATGCGTTATTTCTCCACAAGAGCGCCACGCCACCATAGGGTCTACCCGTGAGTATACCGGCCGATGTATCAACTGCTGACTTACCAGTGTAGCTGAAGTCTTGATGTATCTCACCTAAAAACGTTATGTCATCAAGTAGAAGCCACGTCTGCTGTAGCGCTAGCACGTCGGAAGTTTCACACAGGTGTTGTTACAGCGTGCAGCTGCCTATCTAATAGTAGGATCCTCCCGGCCCATGAAGAAGGAACCTACAGGCAGATGCAGGTCGGGCCACCTAAGGCCAAAGTGGAAAATCTCTAATTACACTAAACAATAAGGGGGAGTGTTCTATACTACTGCCATTCCACAGGGAGAATATTAAACGGAGCTTACTTACCTATATCCAAGGCGACTGGTCCCTCAGGATTCGGTCAAGTCGCATGTGGTTGTGTAGTGCAAGGGAAATAAGGTGCGGTGATGTGTATCTGGGTGTGACTGGTGGTGATTGACCTTATTAGACCTTTGCCGTCAGTAGCAGCCTGAACGTCAGCACCGCTCCAAATTGAGGTAATCTTCCGCGGCGCCGTCCACAGTCACTTTCTTCGTTCGTCACGATGACAGTCCATTAACTCTATCGTACGAACACGGAGTGTCCGGACCAAAGGTCACTACCGTTTCGCGTAGCAACAGTTATTTCTAGAATATCAAAGGCCGCACCAGCTAATATTGTCGAATGCACTTATACATATTCTGAGTCGGACCCAATAAGTCCCGAGAAAGGCTATCCAACAAGGAATGCGCGTTACAAATCCTAGATAGGATATTTACTAGACGCCTAAACTATTTCGTGGTTCCCGCACAAAAATTGACAGCGAGCTGACGTTAGCACAGCTGGCAGACGACTCGTATTTTACGCCGCGCGTTCTACGCACGACCGAACGTCAAACCGGTATGGCGCCGAGCCCCTCTGATGTCGATTCCGAAACCAGCGTTCGGGCGTAAACAGGTGTCTTACGCATTCTAAAGAGCATTTAACAGATTTACAGTTGAAGCTAGTAAATTTAAAATTAA